AGCTGTGGGCACCTGTTCGCCGCGGCCGCCAGGGACTTCGCCGTGGACTGCTTCGTGGACCACCGCTGCCAGCTGCCCGGCTTCAACCGCGAGGCGGAGGTGCGGTCCACGCTGGAGCAGCTGGAGGGCCTCGACCGGCAGAAGGAGCCGCCACCACGGAGAGGGCGCTCTCCGTCCTCTTCATCCTTCCTTCTCCTTCCCTGGATGTGACCTCCAGCTGCAGAACACGACCATCAAACCTGCGGCACGAGGAGCAACAGTGGCATGATGATAACCCTCCGCAGGTCCGCTCGGATTTCTTGGATCGGCGCTGGAGCCCCCTCCCTGGCGCGCGGAGCGCGCCAGGGGTGGCGCTGGAGGCATCGGAAGGGGGGCCCAGCGCCGACCCAAGAAGGCCGCGCTCCTCTACTTAGGTTTGCGAGCGTGAGACGTTCACCAAAATATGTACACTATGCTTCGGGCGTAGGTCCGCATACCTTAGTGTATATATTACGTGCAGATCCAAGGTCAGCCGTCTCTCGAGCTGTCCGGGCGTAACCTCTCAACTCGAGTCTTTTTCCGTTGGGGTACGAGATCGGGAGCGAATCGAATGCATCCCCGTTTTCCATTGCGCGCCAGAATTCGTTTGTTGATGCAGGCACATCCGAGGCGTTGCAGGCTGGCTTTTGTATTCGTCAATGTCACGAATCGAACATTGTGCTCCTAGTAGATATCTCGTGATAGTGTAGATGTGGGAGCACACGCTGGCATCTGTGTTAGTTATGGATGCTTCGCGTATCCCCAGCATTCCGTTCCGAACCGATGTCCACGCGAGTTGTTTTCGGAGCCTCGCGGAGAACTCATGGAGCCACCTTGGGCGGATGGGGAGGAGGAGGAGGAGGAGGAGGAGGAGGAGGAGGAGGAGGAGGAGGAGGAGGAGGAGGAGGAGGAGGCAGAGGAGGAGGAGGGAGGAGGAGGAGGAGGAGGAGGAGGAGGAGGAGGAGGAGGAGGAGCAGGAGCAGGAGCAGGAGCAGGAGGAGGAGGAGGAGGAGGAGGAGCAGCAAGGAGCATGAGGAACCGCAGGATGAGGAGGAGGAAATTTACGCCTTTTTTGGTTTTCCTCGGGGACCCCACGGCAGAACATAACAAGTCACCTTACACATCTGAACATTTGAACATTATGTAAGTACTTTTGGGGTATTTTTGATTTCTCGTCCAAAATCCGCCTGTAGGGGGACATGCCCGACCCAATGATAGTGGAGACCCTGCCTGTGGCGAAGGAGGCTTTGAGCACCACGCTTGCCCCCTCCCCCGAAGCGCACTTTTTTTTGCCCCGCCGCGACGGAGCCCGGCGGCAGGGCGAGGAAGACGACAGGACGACGACGACGACGACGACAACGACGACGAGGGCGACGAGGAGGACGACGACGACAACGACGACGACGACAACGAGGACGACGACGAGGACGACGACGACGACGACGACGACGACGACGACGACGACGACGAGGACGAGGCCGAGTGAGAGCGGGCGAGGGCAGCGCGGGCAGGGGGAGAGCACGGCGGCCGCCCTGCCGCCCCCGCGGCGGCGGCCCCCCGCGGGGCGGACCCCCGCGAGGCGCCAGCAGGGGGCGGCCCGGCCGCTCCCGCTGGCGTGACGTCGGGTCTGCCCCTCCAAAACTTTGAGTATTTTTTTTTGGGGGGCTACTGAGGAATTTGCTTTTCTCTGTATTTTCGGGTATATTTGACGATGTTCGAATATTTGTTTGAACATCGAATCTTTCTGCCTATTCTAGAACGTTGTGCAGAATATATTTTCGGCTATTTTTCACCTCCCCCTTTCTCTTGGAGGGGCGGGGGTGGGCGAGCCACTGGCTCCCGGCGGTCGCCCGCGTGCTGCGCCAGGGCTCCCCCGGGGACTCCGCCGCGCGTGGCGCTCGCGAGGCGGGGTGCTGCCAGAGGTGCCCGTGGGCCCAGGTGAAGTCGGGCCCGTCCCTCTACAGGAGGAAGATTCCAAAGATGTGCAACAACTTAGTCTGGGGAGGACTTTTTTTTGCCTGTTCTGGAGCATGTTTGAGCAGATCATTTTTGATGATTTAAGTTTTCGCTCAAAATCCGCCTGTGGGGGACATGCCCGACCTGAGGCCAAGGTGCCCCCCAGGATTCTCGGGGGTAGCCCAGACTTGCCTCCAGAGCACCCTTCACGAGGCCCAGGGGGCCCCAGGGGCTCCAAAATTGATCGAGAAGCTGGGGGCGCCTCGGACCAGGGGCACTTCCAGCAACGCTCGACGAGACCACGCGGGCGGCGCGACGCACCGGCGGCACGCGCAGCTACGCAAGCCATGTCTGGAGGGCAAGTCTGGGTCGGAGGCGGAGGAGACAGGGGGCGGCGCGCTGACAGGACGAAGGGGGGGAGGGGCAGGATTGCAGCGCAAGGGTTCAGAAAGGTTTCGCTGCTGACTTCCGCGGCCTCACCACAGTAGCCTCCGAGGGCGACTGCGCCCTGCACCGCTGAGACATAGAGGAAGCTGCACCCGGCAGCGGCAGCAGGGCTCCGCGCCGAGCTTGGACTGCTGGAGCATGGTCGAAGGCTCCGCCGCCGAAGAGCGACCAGCCCAGGTGCCAATAATCAGAGCCCCAAGTCATCAGGGGTAACTCGGGTCAGGGCTAACTCGGGTTCGTTTTTCGGGAATCCGAACCCGAGTTACCCCGGACCCGAGTTACCCCGGATAATTCGGGCGTCCAGAGCCCCACATCATCAGGGGTAACTCGGGTCAGGGCTAACTCGGGTTCCTTTTTCGGGAATCCAAGCCCGAGTTACCCCGGACCCGAGTCACCCCGGATAACTCGGGCGCCCAAAATAAACAGAAAGAAGGCCTCAGCACACACTGGAGGAGGGGCCGAGATGAACGACACAAGCAGCACCAACTAAGAACAGCTCAAGCACATCCTCGGTGTCCACCGTCGCATGACTTCTCTTGCGGGTTGTTGCCACGGCACAGTCCGTTCCAGCCAGTCCCCGCACGACGGGAGTTGGTGCCAGTGCAACTTTCACCAAGGCCCTTGACCATGGCACCCAGAGAGTGATACATGCAACTGAGACAAATAAACACCACGGAGCCTTCTGAACAGTAACCAGGACGCTATGACCTTGTGGAAGGAGGACGGGAGCGTACCAGGAAAGCGAGGAAAGAGCAGCAGGGCGAGGATTGCTGCATGATTTCTGAGATGACGGCAGTGACGCCGACGATGAGGAGCAGGCCGACGGGTTCACAGTCGTTGACGATTACATTCTGGACGGGGAGATGACCGATGCATGCTCGCCGGTTGACCTTGCCGTTGTGTCCAAGCGGTGCTATGCCTCGCGATGTCTGGCGAGTCTGACGCCCAGAAGGGATTCATCATGTTGGTTGCGCAATTTTGACGTCGCCTGGGCGGGGGATACCACCAACCTCAGGAAACGTTCGGCAGCAAATCATGGGAGCGTGGTGTACCCTCTCAATTCCGTCTTTAGCGTCGACCAGCGTCGATCAGCGTCTGGGAATCGATGAGATAGCGCCGCTTTAGCGTCGGCCAGCGTCGATTCGCGTCGATTTAGCAACGACTAGCGGCGATTTCGCGTCGATCAGCGTCGATCGACGTCGAGCCGACACGATGGCATGGGAGGCTCCCAGGCGCCGCCGCCGACGAGCACGCGTGCGCACAGCACAAGAGAAAGCCGCCCACGTGCCGTGCCTCCCGGCGGGGCCGCAGAGCCCTGGCGCACACCCCTTGCGAGTCCCGGAGTCGACGGAGGCTGTGCCCCGGCATTCCCCCAGCAGTGCTCGCACTCCTCGTCCTCGTCCTCGTCGTCGTCGTTCTCCTCCTCCTCGTCCTCCGCCTCCCTCGAACGATAGCGACTGTCCCCCAAGTGGCTCCTACGCTTCCATGATCGTCCTACATCCCCTGGATATTCAGTTCTTTTCCAAGTAACCGGGCCTGCTCGTCGGTCTGGCGGCTACGTTGTCGCCGTCGCCGCCCCGTCGCCGCCCGTCGTCCTGGCCCGACTGTCGGTGCGGCGGCCACGTTATCGCCGTCGCCGCCCCGTGTCAGCCTTGTCGCCGCCGGTCGTGGGGGCTGATTGACAGTCTGGCGGCCGTGTTCTCGCCGTCGTCACTTCGTCGCCGCCTCGTCCCCGCCCCTCCGAACTGCACCGCATGATTGCACCGCATGGACTGCACCACCTAGATCGTGCTCAATGGATTGCGCCATGTGGAGTGTACCACAGCTTGCACACCCTCGATCGCCCCACATATATTGCACAACATAGATCGCTTCGCCTAATTTGCATCACATTGCACAACACTTATTGTACCACATCGGTTACCCCGCATGCATTGCACCGCGTACACTGCACCACATAGATTACACCACATACATAGATTGCACCTCATAAGTTGCACAACATAGATCGCACAACATGTATTGCATGCCATAGGTTGCACCACATATATCGCACAGTTTAGATCTTACCACATGCATTGCTCCATATTCATAGTCCCGCACAGACTGCACGACATATACTTGCACAACATATGTTGCTTGGCACGCTGTTTGGGGTCCACGCTTACTAACATCTATTACAGCAGGATTTATCATCGTATGTGCCTGCTGCAGTTCCTGTAAAGTAGTATCAGCGTATGGGGTTCCAGCTTCGTAGGGTCCATATCGATCCGTTCGAATTGATTCGATGCCGATTTCGGCCAGCCCGATTCGATTCGATTTCCATGTTCTGACGATCGGATGCGGCCCGATGCTTGCATGGCGATGTTTTGCATCCTGGCGTAGCCGATCCGATTCTGATTTGACTACGTGCCGATGCAGCCGGGTCCAACGCACGTTTCGATTCGATCCGACTTGTCGATTCGATGTTGGGTAATCCCGCTCCTTCGCAATCTGCCTCCAGTATCACGCCACTTCGGACATAAAGGCTCAAGCTTGGCAGCCTGCGCCTGCGATGGGGGCGAGGCGGTGTGCCTGCCATGGGCGGGGACCTCCAAAGCAGCCTGATTGTCAGCGGGGACAACCATGTGCTCAACACGCACTTCAGGACCCACTCAGAGTGTATTTCCATCCGATCGATTCGATTCGATGCCGAGGTCAGCCGGCTCGGTCCGATCCGGCTCCAGCGTTCCAACGGTCCGACGCCGACCGGTTTTTGCATGGCGCTGTTGTGCATTCTGGTGAAGCCGATCCGAGACGAGGTCGGCTCCGTGCCGATGCGGCCCGATCCGACGCACGTTCCGAACTGATCCGGTTTTCCAGATGCGATGCTGGTTGATCCTGTCGGGGGCGGCCAAGAGGGGGATGATGACTAGGGGGGGTGGGTATCATGGTGGGGGCCATGATATCTTCCCAGATTTCATGGCGCCTCTTCGTGTTTCATTACGTCCCTGGCCCCCCCCCCTGGGCCGCGCACATGCCGCCGGTCATGATTGGCACCCCCCCCTCTTGGACACCCCTCTCTTGGCCGCCCCCGATCCTGCAATGTTTGTAGCGCGCGCTTCAGGCACTTGTTCGACCATCCGGCCTGCATGCAGGAGAAGCCCTCGTCCACCGCCGTCGGCTTCCTCTCGGCGTCGCTCCCAGATAGGTGGCGGAGACACTCGGAGAGCTTGCCGGCGCTGCCCAACGCACATGGAGGTCGGCGGCGCGAACAGATGGGGGACTGGCCCGAGGTCTTTAACAAGTCATGGGCCAGGGACCTTTTTAAAGCCGAGCAGGATAAGGATACCGCTATCTAATTGGCTTTTCTCCCAGGAGGCCCTCGTCGCCACGGCTGGATTCGCTTCGGAACCCTTATCAAAACGCACCCCGGGAGAGGTCTGGGGAGTAGCCGTACCAGTATTTTGCGATTCCTAATTCATATCAGATGTTCGTTTTGGGGATCTTCCTGGGGCCAACCCAACAGATCTGTTCGGCTCGAGTTTGATCCTAGGCCGACTCGAGGTTGACTCTTTCTCGACTCAAGTTCGGTTCAAGTTCGACCTAAGGCGACAGACGTCCGACGCAGCATCGTCGCATGAGCGGAGCGCCTAGAAGATTTTGGCGACTTTGGCCTCCCGCTCCCTTGGAGGTCCTCCTGGGGGCCTCTTGGGCCGTCTTGTAGTGATCTAGCTGGGTTCGGCCGCGGGGGTCGTCGTTCCGTCGTTTTGTGGGAGTTGGCTTCCAGTCTGGAGTAAGTCCAGGCTCCTGGTTTCCTTGTTGGTTGGCGACCGGATGACTCCAGGAAGGTCCCCAGAACCGGAGCATCGAATCCTCAAAAGTCCTCCCAGCTTCCAAGGAGGCTTCGGTCGGAAGCCTCAACCGGCCCTTCCAACAAGGTCCCTACTTTCCAAGACCCCCCCTCCCGCATTCGTGCGCCGCCGGCCTCCCTCCCTTCGGCTGGCTATAACGCGTACCCACCTATCTCTACGCTCTGCTTAACGGACATGCTGGCCACGTCAACAACAAGGTCTCCGACCCCGAGGTTCAAAATGGGACCAGTACTCGAAGACATGCATGAACAACAGGATCATCGGAAGCCTATGCCTACGAACGTGCATCTTCCCTTATGTACCCTCAGATCCGGGCGTTTTAAAGGTAAAGCTGACGGCCAGTTTTGCTGTGTCGTCGGCCATGGAAGCCATTTCCGGGCCCCCGGGCCAGTCAAACAACGACTCGGGATGAAGGGTTGGTCCCAGGGAAGAGGTCGAGATCCTAGGGGGCGCACGTCGCGAAACAAATAAGAGTCGTCGGAGGAGAAGGTTGAAGGCCACCTCTCTTCCAGGTTGACCGCTGGGGTTACTATATGAGGGGACAGGGGGGTTCTAGGTAGATGCCAAGGTGGGCTACATGTGTATATCTGGCCTAATCTAGCTTATGAATGGCGCAAGTGCCCCAAGCGGCTGCCGTGGGGCGCAGTTCTGGGCGAAGAGGGCAGAGCCCACTTAGCAGAGTAACCTAACCCCTTTAAGCCACTCAGGGCATGTATGGCCCATGTGAAAACCCACATTCCCAGACATGCGATAAGCTGTTATTCTCAATACGGGGTCACTGGAAGTCCCGACCCGTTCCTCAGAACACCGAGTCATTTTCTGACGTTCCCGGGGCCTGGCGAGGGCCCCCGGGAGCGGAAAATTACCGAACATTTCCGCCCTGTTGTTTTCAAGACAAAAGCATGCATGTCTGGGCTAGCATCCACTGATGACCCCTCCATCCCGTCAGCAGTCTTAGCGGTTGTCCAAGTTGCGCCACACCTCCCCGTGCGAGTCGCCCGCAGTGTTTCTTGTTTTTTGTTTTTCTTTCCCAGGGTAACGCTCCCTACCCGGGCCAATCTCCCCCCGGGTAAAGCTAACGATCGTAGGGGGAGGGGGGGGCCTGGATCCCCCCTACATGCTGTGGTTCGCACGGGCGATTGATGCGCCGCTGGCGCGGACGCACCCTGGCGGGTGTGCGCCGCGGCCGCCTTTACCGTTCGAGTAGGGATCGACCTCAGAAGTGAGTTACTCCGAATTCATTTACCCGTCGGCGACGGGCCGTCGCATGTACGTGTATGATGCTCTTACAACTCTACGGAGCATGCTACGCATCGTTCGTGGACTCGAAGCAACAATCCATGCTTTGGGGCAGATCAGTTCTGCGGTCGATCCCCTGGCAGCGCCAGTACCCCCCCGCCCGCAGAACCCCCCCCCCTGGGTAACGGCTGCTGCCTGGGGAAGGAAACAACAAAAAACCGGCCGCCAGGGGGCACGGGGCCCGCTGCTCCGCGGGCGCGCGCGCGCCCCCGGGGTGCCGAGGGTTGCCGCAACGCCGGGAGGCGCGCCCCCGAGAGCCCCGGCGCCGCCGCCCGCGCGGGCGCGGCCGTGGCGGCCGCCGAGCCGAGGCTCCGCGCCGATGGGCCGCAGTCGAGGCCTCCCAGATGGGGTCGGAGTAGGTGGGGTCGGAGGATCGCGCCGCATCGCCGATGCATCGGCGACGCATCAGCGATGCGGCTCGATGCGGGGCCCAATTCTCCCCACGCCGACGTCGCCGATGCATCGCCGACGTCGCCAGTGCTTGGCCGATGCATCGCTGATGCATCTGCGATGCATTGCCGATGTGTCGGCGATGTGGCGAGATCCTCCGACCCCATCCACTCGGACCCCATTTGGGAGGCCTCTATACAGTCGGGTTGACCCAAGAGGGGGTCCAGCGACAAGGGGGTGGTGCAATAGATTTGGTGCAGTAGGCTGTTTGGGTTGCAATACATTTGGGGCGTGCAATGCATATCGGGGCGCAGATGTATTGCTGCATTGTCGTGCGCAATACACTACTTCCAATACAATGTAACACATTTCTCCTGCGCAATACATGTGCAATACAATTGCCCCAAATCTATTGCACCACCCCCTTTCAGCTAGACCCTCTTTTGGGTCACCCCGACACAGGATGAATTGTTTTTTCCCGAAATTGACTTCCAGTCGAGTCGACGAAACATCCGAAGGTTGTCGGGGGCGGAAGAGAGGGGGGCGATGACTAGGTGGGGGGGTCTTTCATGGCGGGGGCCATCGTATCTCCCCAGATTTCATGGCGCCTCTTCCTGTTTCCATACGTCCCCGGCCGCCCCTCTGGGCCGCGCAGGTGCCGCCGGCCATGATTTGCGCCCCTTGGACGCCCCCCTCCTGGCCGCTCCCGAGATTGCTCCGTAGACCTGCCATCATGCTACGCATTGGTTCGCAGGCTCGTCGACCAAATCAATGCAGGGGTAAGACAATTCTGCAGTCAACCCCCTACTCGACCGCTGCTTGCTCGCCAGACCTCGACCCCTGTCGTCTGCGCGCTCGCCGAGTCCAGCAGAACACGCCAGGAGCGAGCGAGAGCTTGACGAGCCGAGCCCCGCGACCCCACGGCAGCCCCTCTTCCGGGAGCGCAGCCCCTTGCAGGAAAGGACGCGTCCCCAGACCCCAAGCAGTGGCGAAGCATCTCGGCTCGCCTACAGGCCTACCAAAGGATGTTCTAAGAGCCTTGTGTGGTTCCCACGAAATGCTCTTCGAACAGTTCTGGCTGGGACTGTCTTGTTTCAACACATCGGGCTTATGTTCTAAGAACATGGTTTTTGTTCTTAGGACATCTTTGGGTTCTAAAGACATGTCGTGGTAGGCTGGTAGGAATGCTGGGACGGTCGGTCCCTGCTCAGACCCCCCTTCCCAGATCATTGGATACCATATTCTCCCGGTCGCGATCGGTAGGGATCGAGATCGGCACTGCAGATCGGTCGCGACCGATCCCGAACGCGGTGTAGACCGATACCCGAATGTTAACCAACATCGGTAGCGACTCATCTCAGTGGCCGCGACCAGGAAAACGTGGCATGCAATGATCAGGGTTCAAGCCACGTAGCGCCTTGCAAACGTCAGGAGGGACATGCTTCTCATTTTTCGGCATCTGGGGGGCTTCACCAGGCCCTGGGCCCTCAACAGAAAGACTCAGGACGAAAAAACGGTCCCGGGGAAAGCGTCGGGATTTTTGGGGACCACGTCGTGACACAATCAGGACATCTCATGCTTGGGCTTGAGAAAGGTAACGACGGAAGGCATTTGGCAATGTTCGGCCCCTGAGGGCCTCCCGGTCGCCAAATCCAGATTCGCTTCTAAGTCGTGGTCAGGACGCGCCGCGCCCCAGGGGAAGTCCGGGCAGCAGCGCGGCATCGCCATCTTTCTGTTCGGGGCGCTCGCGTCGCGAAACAGAAAGCGACAGATGCTTGCGGGATCTGTGTGGGCCCTCGCTGGGCCCCGGGGCGGTCACATAACGACTCAGGACGTAAAGCCGGTCCCGGGAAAGGGAAAGGGTCGACACCTCTGGCGATCCACGCTGAAAAAAACAGGAAAAACACGACGTCGGGGGTCTAAAGTCCAGGGGCCACTACCGCCTGGTCCGATTCGACGTCGATGCTTCGACGCGGCCCGATGCTTGCTTGCATGGCGCTGTTGTGCATCCTGGCACAGCCGATCCGATTCGGTTTCGACTTCGTGCCGATGCAGGCCGACCCGACTACCGTTTCGACCCGACCCGCTTCCCCGATTCGAGCACGACTGATCCCGCCTTCCCCATCGGGTGAACGTTCTCGTTGGCCAGCCTGCCCTCTCAAGGGGGGGATGCCGAGCTGTCCCTGTCGGGGTTCCGAAGGCGCCCATCCCCGTCCAGAGGCAGACTAGGCTGGCGGCGTTGAGGGCAACCAGGGACGCGGACCAGCTCTCAACCCAGGGATCCGAGGCATCGGCAATCGCGTTCAATCCGGGGTCCCCGGAAGGCTCGACCCTCTCCCCACGGCCAGCTTTTCGTCCTGAGTGGCTTTCGGACGGTCTTGGGGCCCGGCAAAGGCCCCCCGAGGCCGAATCGGAGGACGCGCAGTGGGGAGCAGCGAGGGCTGCCAAAGAGGGGCCCTTGAGGGCCCCTAACTGGGGCTCTTCAGGGCTCCAAAGGGGGCACCTGGGGCCCGAACAAAAAAAACGCCTTCCTTCGTTCTTTCTCCCCCCATGTGACCTAACCTTCCAGGAGGGCTAAACAATAACACCAGGACGTCGACGTCCTAGTTCCTGCCGAGGCTTGAGGCAGTCCAGATAGCTCTATAGGTCTGGAGTGCTATTTTTCAGCACTCTGGAAGGTCAGGGTGTCGCTCCCCCATCAATTCGCGACCAACCGAAAATGGCAAAGGACCCCCCGCCCGCGATGCTTTCATGCCGCGGCGGGGGGGCCCCGTGGCTCCCGACGCCCTCTCGCGAGAGGCGGGTGGAAGTGCAGCTGCCGCTGTGCCGCCCCGCGACCTGCGAGCACGAGCTCCGCCCCAGGACCGGGGGCGCCCAAGACGGGGGGCGAGGACTCGACTGGACGACTGGACGTACACATTGTTCATGTCTACTTCTTCGAAGGTTCTTTGATTTTGGGGGGGCCAGGATCCTTTCATTTCTAATCGTTCTATCCTGGGCCTATTCCTGGCCACTAGGGGGCTAGGAACAGTTAGAAACGAGTACACTTAGACATGAGCACGATTAGAAATGAACGACGTGTAAGAGTGACCTTTCCCCGGAGTGACCTTTGATGCGGGCCCAATGGGACCTACCCGATAGCTGAACGCGAAGCGGTAGTTGCGTCTCGCGCGCTCGTTTTTGGTCCCCCCCCACGGCCCCCCAAAAGCAGCGCACCAAAGGTCACTCTTACCCAGGGTGGTCACTCTTACCCAGGGTCACTCTTGCGTGTAGTCGACCGACTAGACGCAAGAGCGACCTTTCGCCGGAGTGACCTTTGACGCGGGCCCAATGGGGCCCCCCGACAGCTGAACGCGAAGCGGCAGCAGCAGCTCGCGCGCCCGGGTTTGGCCACCCCGCGGCCCCCCAAAAACTGCGCACCAAAGGTCACTCTTGCCCAGGGTCACTTCTGCATGCAGTCGAGAGGACGGACCACGGGGGGGGCTTCATGGCCGGGGCCGTGAGATCTCACCGAGAACGAAATAATCCTTCATCCTGATAACACGATGAAGACGTGGCCTCACTTTGGTCCCCGTCGTCCCATTCGGGATCAACAAACCATTCGGGCGGTTTGGCTTCACACACCTGCAGAAAAAGACCCCCTATCCCTACTGTTTCTGGCCCTCCTAACTGAAGTCTCCTTCCGAAGGGCCAGGGGTACTTCTATTGCTTATCAAGGTCTCCTCGGATTTCATGGTCTCCTCTTCTTCTTTCGACACGTCCCTTCCCCCCCATCCACCGAGTTCGTGAGGGTCACCACCCCTCCCATGCCAAGGGCAATGCAATATGAGCTCGTACCAGTCTCAATCCCTTTCCCGTAGCCCCTGGCTGGATTGCATCGTAGACATGCTTTATCCTGTCGTACTCCTTGGCCCCCCCCCCCCTCGTCCGCGCCCGTGCCCCCCGGGCAGGACTTGCAAGCCCCCCTCCTTGGAGGGCGCGCACTCATTGGGGGGGGGGGGCGATGCATCCTGGGGCAGCAGGGGCTGCCGAAAAGATGCCCCGTTGGGCCCCTCAGAGGGGCCCATTCGGGCCAGGGGAGGGGGGGGGGCTTTCGGGCCCGAGTTTGGCGACTCTCTCTCTTTCCCCCCGTTTTTCGTTGATCGCCCCTCCCATTATCGGTACGAGCGACACGGGTACGGAAAGAATGGGGACGATGCCCAGCAGCAGTTCCTGTTCATTTCGATCAGGGCTCGCTGTCCGCGCCGCCGCGGCCTGTGCCCCTTCGAGGCAGGAGGTCGCCTGCCCAACGGCGGCCGCTGTTGGTTTGGGACAGCCTTTGTTGTTGGGCATTGTACCCATTTTTCCGTACCCAGTTCGGGCGTCCAAAATGGACGGCGTCCTTGGAAGGGCGGTTCGGGGCGGGGGCGGTGGTGCCCCCCCTCCGCCCCCCCCCCGAAAGCCCCGAAGCAGGTCCAGAGCGGGGGCGACGCAGAGGCACTCCCAGGAGAGCGCCCGAGTGGCACGAGGTGGAGGGAGCGGGTTCTGGCGAGGCGCCTGCCGCATGTCGTTGGGTGTGGCGAAGAGCGTGCGGGCCTGTCGCCCTCCTGTCGTGCCCAAGCCTCTTGGACGCCCCCCCCTCTCCGGGCACCCCCGCCGCAGGAGCGTCGCCCGGAGCCCCCGGTGCCAGGGCGAGGCCTGGCTCCGCTCGCGCAGCGCCGCCTCGGACGGCCGCCAGGAGGACCTGCGGGTCGGACGGCGGGGGGGCGGTCAGCAAGGGGAGGGCCTCGTGTCGTGTCCTCCCTGCTCCGAGGCGGGAACGTCCATGTTCAAGCAGTGGCGGAGCGCCCGGGCGTGCCTGTAGGCCTACCAAACAATGTTCCGAGAACCTTTTGCGGCTTCCACAGAATGTTCTTCGAATCTTGCTTTGCTGGCTGGATCTGTCTTGTTTTTAACACTCCAGGCTTAGGTTCTAAGAGCATCGTTCATGCTCTTAGAACGTGTTTGGGGTCTAACAGCATTCCTGGTAGGTTCTAAGCACAGTTTTTGTTCTAAGAACAGTTTTTGTTCTAAGAGCAGCTTTGGGGTTCTAGAACAGTTCTAGAACATGTTTGGGTTCTAAGAACAGTTTTTGTTCTTAGAACATGTTTCGGTAGGCCTATAGAAATGCCGGGACGGTCGGTCGCTGCTCAACATTTGGGGCGTTCCGCAGAAGGCCTTGCCTTCGAGCATCGGAGGACTGGCCATTTCGTCCGCGGCGAAGTGCGGCGGAAGGCGGCGGAGGTGAAACGGCGGTGGCTCCGCGGGCGGAAGCTCGGCCGAAGCCGGCGGAAGCAAAAGTCGACCTTACGATTAAGTCAGGCCTGTCACTCTACAGGAGGAATATTCAAACATAGTCAAAACAGTTTTCAGGGGACGATCTTTTGACAATTGTTGACCATGTTTGGTATTTGTTTTTACACATGTTTTATTGCTCGCCCAAAATCCGCCTGCAGCGGGATTATCCGGTACTGTCGGACCGAGGTACAAGATCGAGGTCGGTTCAGAGAGGGTACTCTCATGTTCTTCGTGCTGGTTGGATTATCTGGTGCATCCTTGGGAGGGAACCTTCGGATGTTCTGTGTGTTCCGGCGGGCGGAGTGTCTCGTGTTCTGGAAGGATTGATGTCCTTCTGCCCCAGGTCCGACTGCACTGTACTCCGCTACGACAAATCATTACGCCAGGATTACTCGGGGACTGCGGGGGTGGGGGTGGGGGGCAGCTGACTGACTGCGCCAGGAGATCTCCTAGAAGCGTTCTCTCCGCGCGCGCAGGCGCTCTCCGAGGGCCCCCGCCAGAAGCAGCCACGAACATCACGTCGCGGGCCACGGCCCCGCAGCCCGCGCAAGCTCGAGCTCGAAGCTGACTGAGGGGGAAAACGGCTGCAGGGCTCCGTGGCATCGGCTGCCCGCGCGGTGGACCTGGATCCCGGCTGCTCCGCTACGCCCGTCTTGAGACGCAGCGCGTGCGCCGTGTGCAGATCGTCCGAGCCAGCACGCTGCGCGCTGGCTCGGCGTGTTGGCCCACGCCTTGGCGGACGTGTCGCGCCAGACCCGCACTCTTGTTGAGCCTGCGTGCTGAGCTCCCGCTCCATGCGCTGCGTGTGGCGCGCTGCGCCTGGGCAGGGCAGATCTGGAGAAGTCCCCGCCTCGCAACCTGTCCGTAGGTCGGCGGCGAGCCCGGGGGCGAAACGCGAAAGAGAGAGAAGGCCTTCAGAAGCTGCGAAAAGCTCGACAGTAGGCGTCCAGGAGCCTTGCATTCTTGTCGTGCGCCCTTCTGAAAATTCTTTACGCTTCGCGTATCCCCACCAGCCCATCTCACAACAGCAACTCATGCGAAGCATGCCGACAGTCGTGTTTTTCAGGCGTGTGTCCGTTTGGCCCCGCATATCTCCCCTGTTCCTCCTTCCTCCCGCCTCATTGTACATCCTCCTTGTGGGGGGAGCGGGAGAAGGACGAGGCGGAGGAGGAGGGAGAGAAAGCGCTCTCGTGATTTGAGTCGTTTGGGGTTTCTCGTCCTGGTGTGAGTCGTTCGGGCCCTTCTTCCTGGTGTGAGTCGTTCGGGCTCTTCGTGGTGTGAGTCGTTCGGGCTCTTCGTCCTGGTGTGAGTCGTTCGGGCTTCTCGTGGTGTGAGTTGTTCGGGCCCCTCATCCTGGTGTGAGTCGTTCGGGCCCCTCCTCCTGGTGTGACTCGTTCGGGCTCCTCGTGGTGTGAGTCGTTCGAGGCGCGCGTCGTGGTGTGAGTCGCTCGGGCTCCTCGTGGTGTGAATGGGTCGGGCGCCTCGTCCTGGTAGGAGTCGTTCGGGGTCCTCCTTCTGGCGTGAGTCGTTCGGGTTCTTCGTGGTATGAGTCGTTCGGGCCCCTCGTCCTGGTGTGAGTCGTTCGGGCTCCTCGTGGGGCCTCTTGGCGGCCTCTTGGAGCCTCTTGGGGCCTCTTGGGGGCCTCTTGGGGGCCTCTTGGGGGCCTCTTGGGGGCCTCCTGGGGCCTCTGGGGGCCTCTTGGGGGCCTCTTGGGGGCCTCTTGGGGGCCTCTTGGGGCCTCTTGGGGGCCTCTTGGGGGCCTCTTGGAGGCCTCTTGGGAGGCTCCTGGGGGCCTCTTGGGGCCATCTTGGGGCCTGTTGCGACCTCCTCAGAAGCGCAAAGAAGCGCTGCCCCCTGAGAAGGACAAAATGAGCCCAAAACCCTCGTAAAATCAATGATTTTGCTATGAAGGAAGATGAGCGCGGCCTCCTCGGGAGGCCAAAATGGGGCCAAAACCCTCGTAAAAGCAAGGATTTTGGTTTCACAGAAGAGGAGGGGGCTACAAGAGTGCCCCCCCGTCGGGGCCAGAATCCTCGTGAGGGTCGTCGTTTTTTGGCCCTCCCAGGCGTCGAAAAAGACCCCCCTGACCACCCGCGGAACTCCCTCTCCAGGCCCAGGGGGAGGGGGTAGGGGGAGGGGTAAACCCCTCCCCGAAGGGGAAGAAGGGGGGTTGAGGACAGAGGGGGCTCTCTAAACCACTCACGCCCTAAAGGGCTGGTGGGATTACGGGTCGAATGTCGATCCGGCGTCACCTCAACATACCATTACTTTGTGTGCGGCGCCCCCCCATGGGCGACGCGCGCACCGAGGAGCCTTATAGCATGTGCGTCGTGGCGGGCGCTTTCTGGCCGCACCGCTCGGGAAACGATTCACACCAAGATGGGCACAGTCGGGGCGCTGAAGAAGGAACCCTTTTCGTTGGGGAGGGGCTCGGTGTTCCTTGATTGTTTCGCAGCTTGCCTTAGGTTGTCCTTAGGTTTTCGATCTGAAATCGAAGTTTAATCGAAGTTTAATTTATGGAAAATAGGGGCCTAGTTCCTTATTTAGGGTTCCTTAGGTCAACGCCCCGACTGTACTATATGTTCGGGTCGGACGCGCGCCTCCAAGGAGGACATCCAGTGCTAGTATGTCCCTGTGCGTCCCATGTGATCCCCCTTGCGGCCCCGCCCGACCCAGATCATCGGATACCGAGATCTCTCGGCCGCGATCGGTAGCGACCGATGGGCACTCCAAATCGGTCGCGACCGATCGCGACCGATCCCAGCATCGGTCGCGACGGGTCGCCACCGATCGCGACCGAGCGGTCGCGACCGATCGGTCGCGACCGATTTTGAAGAGCAAGTCGGTCGCGACCGATACCGGAACTTGAAGCAAAGACGGCAGCGACTGTTCTCGTCAGTCGGGACTGGAAAATTCAAGCCTCCAACGCCCAGGGGAGAGGAGCCGAGCAGTCTCTCTGGGTGGCGGGCACAAGGGTGAAATCTGAAGTGCCGCTTCGATGGACTGTCAAGGCCTGAAGCTGCAAAAGGTCAATCACCAGACGGAGGCCGAAAACGAAGCAGTGGTTGTGGTCATTTCCCTGGTGCCTAGCTTGCCGAGAATGACCACAACCACTGCTTTGTTTCTGCTGGCTGGAAGGCGGCAACAAAAGAACAGCAGTGGCTGTGGTCGTTTTCACGTCCCGTATTTTTCGAGGCCTGAAGCTGCAAAAGAGGTCCATCACCAGACGGAGTGTTTTTTTTTCGAGGTGCAAAAGACCATATGGATCTCACCTACGTGCTGAGCTCCAGCTCCATGCGCTGCGTGTGGCGTGCTGCGCCTCGGGGCAGGGAAGATCTGGAGAAATCCCCGCCTCGCAACCTTTCCGTAGATCGGCGGCCAGCCCGGGGGCGAGATGCGAAGGAGAAGGCCCTCAGAAGCTTCCAAAAGCTCAGAAATAGGCGCCCAAGAGCCTTGCATTCTTATCGTGCGCCCTTCTGAGACCATTCTTAAGAGGAGGCCGCCCCCCTGCAGCGGGCCGGCCCCCGCCTCTACGAGCCGCCGCCGGCGCGGCGCCTGGAGCGCCAGCAGGCCGTGGCCCTGGCGGCGCTGCGGCGGGCCGCGCGGCCGCGCTCGCCGCGCGGGAGGCGCGCCGCGGCCTCTTTGGCGGAGCCGCGGGGGGGCAGACTGCCCCGAGGCTCGGGCCCCGCATCCTCGATGCTCGAGCCCCGAGCCCCGAGCCTCGAGCCTCGAGCCTCGAGCCCCGATCCTCGATGCTCGAGCCCCGAGCCTCGAGCCTCGAGCCTCGAGCCTCGAGCCCCGATCCTCGATGCTCGAGCCCCGAGCCTCGAGCCTCGAGCCCCGATCCTCGATGGTCGAGCCCCGATCCTCGAGCCCCGAGCCCCGAGCCTGGATCCTCGAGCCGAGCCTCGAGCCTCGAGCCTCGAGCCGCGAGTCCGAAGGAGAACAAGAAAGGCCAGATGTGAGCAGAAACTTTTGGCGCTCCGCGCGGGGGGGGGGGATGGGCCTGTCTTCCACCACCACCACCACCACCATCACCATGAGTTGGACGGGGAAGGGGTCCTCCTCCTCCTCCTCCTCCTCCTCCTCCTCCTCCTCTTCCTTTTCTTCCTCCTCTTCCTTCTCCTCGTCCGCCTCCTCCTCCACCTCCTTCTCCTCCTCCAGCTTATGGTGGTGGTGGTGGGAAACAGGTCCATCAGGGGGGCAGAAACCTGGTGCTGAAGGTTTGAAGCAGCACGGCGATAGCAGCGATAACGATGGCGACCACCGCGATCGCAACGATAACAACGATAACGATCAGCGATCACAGCGATAACGCTGACAACAATGATCACAACTATCACAACGATCACTGTCACAATGCTAACAACGTCAATAACTATCATAACGGTAACGATCACAACGATGACAACGATAACACCGCTAATAACGATAATGAGGCTGAAGCTTGTTCAGAAAATTCGAAGCAGCATGAACACCGTCGAAGAAGAAACAGCTGCACAAGCATGAACTTTTGGCGCTCCGCGCGGATGTCCTGCATCGGCGCCTGGGCCCCCGCGGCGGCGCCGCCCCTGGCGCGCTCCGCGCGCCACGGAGGGAGGGATCCAGCGCAGATCCAAGAGATCCGTGCGGAGCGCCAAAAGTTGATGCTCACGGCGTTGTCGACTGCTGGTGGAGCCTGGCCAGAGGATTTGAAACAGCATGGGCATGGGCGAGCGTTTTCTTATTCCTTGTTTTGCCGATCGGCGCGGGCCCTCGCCTCCCCCCCTCCCCCCCATGGGGTAGATCTTGCTGTTTTTGCCGCCTGTTTCGGGCAGGTGGGGTCTCCCCTATAGGACGCACTGCTGCAAACAGTCGCATTCAGAGGTCCCGAGCCAGACCCTCCCCCCTCCCCCCCCCTTACGCCCAATGTCGAAACGCCGAATGAGAACCGTTCGCCAGACACTTCTGTCCGTAGCGTCGGCTCGAGAGAGCCGTGCGAGCGATCCCAGAGTCAGGTTCGCGGACCCCCAGCCAGGCCGATCGCCTCTCCCTGTCACGCTGCGCAGACGCAACACACACTTTTTTGATCCGCGGGTCGAGAGCGCACCTCTTCCGGTCGAAGCTAAGCGGGCCGCGCACAGCTTCAATTGACAGAGGGGGGACGCAGACGCAAACACACGCGCAGCAGCACAGCACCAGGTAGCAGCATCGTCTTCCTGTGTCACGCCGGGCGGGCGACTCTGGGCGTCGCGTAATGGGGGGGCGAGCAATCGGGGGGCAGCGAGGGCTGCAGCGAAGGGGCTCGTCAGGGTCCAACAAGGGAGCCTTCAGGTCCCAGCAGTGCCTTTCCCCTCCCCCCTCCCCTCCCCTCCCCCCTCCCCTCCCTCCCCTCCCCCTCCCCTCCCCTCCCCTCCCCCCCTCCCCCCATTTGTGGATCCTCCGATCTAGCGACGCCCAACGACCCCATCAGCGTGGCGGGTGCTCGTTTGGAGGCGGAACCTGCCTGGTGCCGATCCACGGATCTTGGTTGGATTCCGAGGCCGACTCCTTGCCGACAGAAATTCAACCCAAGGTCGATTCGCGTCGACGCACGTTCGTAGCAACATCGACACACGAATGGAGCGAGTTGCCCCAAGAGGGTCCAAAGAACGAGCATCTGACCATGAGCGTATGGTGTTGTCGGAGGAGTGCGCAAGGTTTTGGCGCAAGCAGCAATTGGGTAGCACGCGCAGCGCTGGCGGACGACGCGCGTGCCATCGGTACCCCCAGAGACCCCGACAGCGTGACAGTTTCACATCTTGGACCCCAGGTGGTCTCGATCCATTGTTTGGGACCAGCTTCCCATCCCGAATCGTACGTTTGCTGGCCCCGGGGCCCAGTGAAAACACCCAGACGCCGAACACTAAACGTGCGAGTGGGCCTTCGACTGAATAACCGATTGGTGCGTGCCCACAGGCGTGCCCCCCGCAGCGGCATGCTCGGTAGGATTTGGCCCCTCCGCGGCCCCCCGAAGCTCCGCACCAAAGGCCACTCTTGCCGGAGGTGACTCTTGCGCGTGGCCGACACATGCGCGATGGAGGAAGACCGGTTCGTTTCCACCGACGTTGGCGCGTAAGCTGCCCGCACAAAGTCGTGCGTAAGCACCATCGTTTTCCATGCACCGTGCCACGATGGCGGCCCGCGCAAGTTGCCGCGTAAGGTCGCTACGTCATTTTGCGTAGGACGTTTTTGCTTTGTGCCTCAAGTGTTTGACATCGTTTCTCATTGCCCCCGGCACATATCCGTAGAAAAGGTGTGTGACCGAGCAAAAATCGATGACCAACAACGTGCCCGAAACTTCGACCGAAAGCGTAGTGTGACCGAACTTGTGACCGAGTTCTTGGTGCGAGACCAAGACGGTGTTCAATGATTGAACATCGCTTGGGCGTCGAAACAATTTTCTCGGTTACATTCTTGCGCGTTCGGAAAACTTCGGGCGCCAGTTTCGGTCACAGTCAACGCGCCTAGTAAGGATGCGCAGCTTCAGCTAGGGTAGGTACCCTTGTTCCCTTGCCACTGCGGCCCCGTCTTTTGCCGTTTTCGCCGGTCGCCCGCCGCCCAACGGACATCCGAATTTCGGCCTTCAAGGGTCCTGCGTCCTTACCGCCCGTCCTCAGTACACACTCTGACTGCACACGCGGTCGACTTGTCGGGCACGGTTTCGGTCATAGCACCCCCTCTGGCAGGGACGAGGCTGCGTGAGAGTTCCCGCCGCGACGCGCGACGGGGGGTCTGGGCCCTTCGCCTGCCCGAGGAGCCGCGGGCGGGGAGGCGCGAGCTGCTGGCTGGCCGCAGGAACCGAGGCGTCGGGCGCTGCGCCACGGGGGGGGGACGGGGGGCGAACCGTCGCAGGTGAGTTTTCTCCCACCCCCCCGCGAGCTGTCGACGAACAATGAAGCAACCCAGAAAGGGATGGGAACCCTGGACTACCCCCCCCCCCTCCAGGGTGCTTTTCGGACGCACCCCTATCGAGGAGGGACGCCCCCATCCATCGTGTATCCCATCGTTGGTCCTCTACTTGTTTGTCCATTCGAACACCCCCCAAAGCCTGGGAGAAGGGGGTCGACATTTCCTCTGTTGGTGCACTTCTCGTGCACCTCCCGGGCCCTAACAAGAATCCTCTGGGGCCCGACGAGGGGCACGCAAGGTGCCCGCTCTTTTGCCCCCCCCCCCCCCCCCCATGTGTAGCGCCCCAGAGGCGCCTCTCCGACGCCCCTGGCCGACCTGGTGCTGCAGTCCGCGGGGCTGCCCCCGAGCAGACGGCAGCTGATGTGAGCGGCGCGCGCCGGCCCGTCGGCCGCCGTGCGCGCGGGTCCGCGGGCCTCGGCTGCGCGCGCGCGAGTGGCTCTTCGCCGGAGTGGGGGTGCCCCGGTCGCCACCACCCACCAAGTCACCCCAACCCAACCCGAAGGCTTCAATGTGCCCTCCATCTCCAGTGTGGGGGGGGGTCCGGGAACATTAAAAAAAACACGTATGGAACCCGTACCCCCCCCCAACCCGAAATTCGGGTCGTCGGGTCGGGTTGGGATGGTCTGGTAGGTATTCAGATCGCGGGGTTCGATACGATCGAGGCAGCTGCGATGCGGTGGAGGCAGCTGGTGCGCTTGGGTGTTGCCCCCCTCGCGGCCCCCGTGAAGCCGCACACCAGAGGTCACTCTTGTCCAGGGCCGCCCTTGCGCGCAGCCGAGGGTCAGCGGGCGCCGCCGCGTCGTGGACAAGGCTCACGGCGGAGGGTGCTTGTCAGTCCTCGGCCTCCGGGGACCACCACACCGGGGGCCTCGGGGCGGTGCAGACACGGCTCAGGACGAGCCGTGTCCCCAGGAAGGGGTCCAGACTTTGGAGGAGCCGCGCTGTGAAAAAGTCACGGCGTCGGAGGTCTGGGTCGTCGGCGCGCCCCCGGGCCGTGGCCCGTTGCGCTAGTCGGCCGTGTCGGGCCAGAGGTGGTGCTGCGGCTCGGGGGCACGTGAGGCTCGAGTTTGCCAGGACTCGGGGCAGCTGTTGCTCTGTGACGGTCCTGGGCTTGAATCTGATTGCCCAGTGTTCGTGAGATGTCTGCAGCGGGAGCTTGCGTCAAGTTTCAAGCTACCTCCCGCCACTGTTTTGACGGCCCCGTCGAGCAAGCCTGAGTCCGGAAAACTAGAGTCTCACGTCTCTCCGAGTGGTGGGGAGGGGGGGGGGGGGGAAGGTCTCAGGCACCGCGCATAAGCGCAGCCTGCGCATGAGCGCCGCGCCGCCTGCGCCCCCAACTCGGAGCCTGGTGCTGGGAGTTTGCGCCCGCTTTTCTGTGCCGCCGCCGCGCCTGGCGCAGGATAGGACGACTCCCTCCCCCTCTCCACGCCGTCTCCCTGCCCTTCGACGAGGTGGGGATGTCTGCACAACCGCCGCCCGGAGGACCGACCTTCGCCTCGGCTGGCGGTGGATCTGAAACTGCTCGGGCGCCCTCGGGTCGCACTCTTTCAGTATGCTGCGCCCTCCTGGGTCCCGCACCTCCTCGAAGAAGATCACACCGCATCAGCATGAGCCCTGTCTTTGTGTGTCTGGTCGCGCCGCCGAGCGAAGGGATGAGAGGCCGTCCTGCGCCAGGTGCGGCGGCGACCCATAAAGACAGGGCTCATGCTGATGCAGTGTGATCTTCTGCGAGAAGGTGCGGGACCTAAGAGGGCGCAGAATATGGAAATATTGCGACCCGAGGGCGCCCGAACGTGTCGCCGCCGCACCTGGCGCAGGACGGCCTCTCCTTCCTTCCCCCGGCGGCGCGCCCAAGCGGGGCAAAAGGCGGGGAGAAGGCAGCCGGGGGCGCGGGCCTTCTCAGAAGAAGGCTCTCAGAAGGCTCCCGCCCTCCCCGGGAGTCTATCCCTGGGCCGCCTCCGCAGAGAGAGAGGAGGGACCGCTCCCCACGAGGACCGAGAGGAGGAGGGAGGAGGAGGAGGGGGAGGAGGAGGAGGAGGAGGAGGAGGAGGAGGAGGAGGAGGAGGGGAGGAGGGGGGCGGAGGAGGAGGAGGTGGAGGAGGAGGAGGAGAGGAGGAGGCGGAGTAGCAGGAGCAGGAGGAGGAGGAGGAGAGGAGGAGGAGGAGGAGGAGGAGGAGGAGAGAGGAGAGAGGAGAGAGGAGAGAGGAGGAGGGAGGAGGAGGAGGAGGAGGAGGAGGAGGAGGAGGAGGAGGAGGAGGGGAGGAGGAGGAGGAAGGAGGGAGGAGGAGAGGGAGGAGGAGGAGGAGGAGGAGGAGGAGGAGGAGGAGGAGGAGGAGGAGGAGCAGCAGCAGGAGGAGGAGGAGGAGAAGGGAAGCCCCGCCGCCTTTGGAGAGCACCTGCCTCTCTCTCGCCCCCCCTCCCCGCCCCGGCGCGCCGCCGATTTTCTTTCGAAGGAGAGTACACACCTTAAGAGCGGACGGTCGGACCGAGGCATAAGAAGCCCGAGGTCGCTTCGGGGCAGGTGCCCTGTAAGGTTCTTCGTTCTTGCTGGATGCTCTTGTGCATCCTGGAGGGGTCCCACCAATGTTCAGTCGGGCCTGTCCCTCTACAGGGGGGTAAATTCGAAAATAGTCAAACATAGTATGGGGACGATTCGAAATAGTCAAACATAGTTTTACTAGTTTAGCATATTTGTTTGCATCTTTTTTGTTTTCGTGCAAGATCCGCCTGTAGAGGGACATGCCCGACCTAACTCCAATGCTCTTGCGTCTGGCCGGCGGAGGGCTTCCTGTTCTTGAGGGAGGCTCTTCTGTCTCAGGTCCGACTGTGAGCTTCGATGGCCCGCCCGGGTGTCTTGGATCTGCGCTGGGCGCTCCCCCCGTGGCGGCGCCTCCGGCGTTGCCGCCGGCGCGCTCCCGCGCGCCAAGGAGGGGTCCAGCACCGATCCAAGAAATTGGCGCGGACCTGTATAGGAGCTGATGTTTACGGGGCTCTCCCAGACCCCTTCGCGTGGTGACCAGAGTCACGGCAAGAGGTTGTTGCGCTAGTTCTGGCCTCGGCGGGCCGTCGCCAGACCCCGGGGCCGTCCGAAAGTCAGGAGGGGAAAAACACACAGACACAAATAATCGTCGACTCCCTGGAAAATCAGGAATATATAGGAAGGGGGTATAGACAAAAACCAATAAAATATTGGAATTTATGGGGAGGTCCCTGGGCTCCTTGGAGAAAGTGTTCAGCATGGACGGGCCCGTCCCAGGGAATGGGTCGAGAACTGTGGGGTTCGACTCGGGCAGGGCTAGAACGTGGATGAGTCCGTTCCAGAGCGGTCTGGAACGCGCTCGGAGTGTTCTAGAATGCTCTGAGAAGGCCGCGGCGCCTGCGACATCCTCCAGAGCCGCCAGATCTCAGGGATTCTCCTTCACCCGATGTTATCCTCGCCTTGGCCTCCTCTTCATTTAGAAACAAGGCAATCTCGAGCCCCCTCCTCTTGCCTCCGGCGTTGTAATTGCTAAGGCATTACGGCCAGTGCCGCCGACCCTGAATGGCGACGACGACGACGACGACGACGACGACGACGACGACGACGACGACGACGACGACGACGACGACGCCGACGAGCGCTCTCGGGGGTCTCTTGGGGGTAGTTTGGGGGCCTCTTGGGAGGCTCTTGGGGGCCGCTTGGGGGCCTCGTGGGGGCCTCTTGGGGCTTCCTGGGGGTCTCTTGGGGGCCTCTTGGAGCTTCTGGGAGGGCTTCTTAGGCGCTTCTGGGGCTTCTGGTAGCTTCTCAGGCCGAGGGCTCGAAATGACCGTTCGGGTCCCCCGTCTGGGCTCCCCCTTGGAGCCGCCTTGAGGGCCTCTTCGGCTGCCTTGGAGGCCTCCTAGGCCTTAGGCGGTCTTGGGGCCCTCTGGGGTCGTTTTGGGGCCCTCGTGGAGGGTTCTTGGGCCATCTTGGGTCGGTCTTGGGGGCTTCTTGGCCTGTCTTGAACCGTCGGGAAGCTGACAAGGCGAGAATGCCGAAATCATTCAAAAACCGAAGGGGAATCTATGATTTTTGCTCGTCGGGCCCTCTTGGAAGTCCTTTTGGAGGCCTCTTGGGCTGTTTTGGAAACCTTTTGAGCCTTCTGGAGGCTACTTTGACGAATTGGACCGATACTTCGGCGATTCGGGGCTCTCGAGGACCGTCTTGAGGCATCTTGCGGCACTTTTGCAGCGTCTTCGGGCTTTTCTGGGCCCCCGAACCGCCCGGGAGGAGTCGTATCTGGGTGGCGACCCCCCAGGGCCCCCGGGACCCCCTCTGGGACCTTCTTGGGACTCCCCCCCGGCCCCACCCCCCCGGTGGGGAAGGGATCAAACGGAAGGGGCTTCCCTTCAACGTTGCTCAACTTCGCTGTGGCTAGCGCGCTCGAGGAGGAGGGCCCTGTGAAAGTGGGGGCAGCGGCGACGGGCCTAGGGATAGAAGGGAGCGGCGAATGGCGACGACGACGACGACAACGACCACGACGACGAAGACGACGACGACGAGTCAAACGGAACGCACGCCGATAGGTTCGGCGGATTTTTCGAGGCGCGGCCCCACAGGTCCCTACACCTTTCCTGGAGGCAGCCTGTCTTCCCGGGTTCCCCTCGACGGTGCCCGTGCCCGGTGACGGGCCCCATGGGCCGAGGCCGAGGGCAAGCGCGAAGGCCGAGAACACAAACCTCGTCGGAGCTACACTTCGGTCGGGAATGTCCCCCTACAGGCGGATTTCGGGCTAACAAATGAGAATACTCCAAACATGCACCAACATAAGTTACAACAAGTCGAAAACATCGTCCCCCGACGATGTTTTTGAAGCTATCCCCCTGCAGAGGGACACGCCCGACATCAAGCTACACGTGGGGCGTTCCAGGAGCGGCCTTGTCTTCGAGGACCGAAGGAGCTGCCATCTTTCCCGCGGCGGAAGGGCGGCGGAGGTACAGCGAGGGCGGCTCCGCCGGCGTCCGCCGGAAGGTGCGGCGGAAGGGTTGGCGGAAGAGGCGGCGGAAGGGTTGGCGGAAGTAAAAGCTGCGCTCCCAAGAGATGGAAACGGTTTTGGGTGCAGTGCTTATTTTTCTCTCCAAATCAGCCGCATGACAACTGTTGCCCGGGTATTTCCGTGCAGGGGAGAGGGAGGGGGGAGAGAAGAGGAGGAGGGGGGGAAGGAGAAGGGCGAGCGTCAGCGGGGAGCGGCCTCAAACCGCCGATAGATCGTACACCTAAGATTGACCGCCGCCGTAGCGGGAACAGGCGGCAGAAAGCCACCTTTGGTTGTTTATTGCCGTGAGCGCACAGCCCTGGGTCGGGGTCACCTCCTCTCCGTGCTCTCACTTTGACAGGGGGCGTAATT